GGCACCAAAAGAGCGCGAGCAATAGGAGCTTGGTAATGGGATTCTCTGAACGAGACAACACTTCTGCCCATGTTATGATCAACGCTCGACACCGGTGAGGAAATTTGGGTAGCAACACGGTTGCACCATGACCATTTGGTGAAGATTTTCCGTACCACCTCGGGCTCTGCTCAACGGTGCGCGCTCGATGCAGCTCCTCTCAGACCTCTTAACGACTGTCGCGCGGGAGGTTGCACAGCTATTGTGGCGCGGAATCCAATCAGGATACCCAGAGGAATGCAGTGCGGGACGAACAATTCTCGTCGCGTGTTTGCAGAAGCTCGTCACACAGGAATACCCTGCCGAGCTTGCCTCTCTTACCGGACCCGTTCGACAACATTTGGCCAGCTGACAGGGGCAATCTTATTGAGCTTCAACTGAACAATCAGTCCAAAACTGACTTGTTTGAAACGCACGTGGGGTTTAACGGACTCCGAGACTTGAGTGCTCAGGCCTGTTGGATTGTCAACCTCTGACTCTTCACTGTTTGCGCGAGATAGTCGAATCCTTAGAGCTGGTCTAGATTTGTGCCTCGAACAGTCTTGTCATGTGTTGCAATATAGAGCTTGTTTAAATAAGCAATCATTGAGTAAACCAACTTAATTTATGTCACGGAATTACGGTGGGATGGCAAAAAGGTGTTGATGTAACATTGGACTTGCCCAAGTGACGCAAATCCTTCCAGCAAGTTGTCTCACCAATTTACCAGCCTCCTACTACGCCCTATCTTGACCCGACGAGAACTCACTATTAAGATGCAAGTCTCGGCTGCAATTAGTAAACTTGCAATTTATCATGCATCGTGAGTTCGACTGGATGCATCGGGCACCAGACTTAGACCTGTACTAAAGCTTACAAGTCCATTGTGTCAACCCTTTATGTTGTAGCTTAGCCTGCCGAAAGTATGTGATGCGAAGATCTCCAAGTTAATCAATCTCAATACGACCGGAAAAATGGGTTAGACACTATACGAATGAGTCGTGCGTAAGTAAGTAACTTGCAAGGACTGTGTGAAACTAGGGAACCCTTTGGTATTGGACTTTGATAAAATAAGAGTGACAGGTGATCTGAAAGTTCTCTCGCCCTGCTATAACCTGCGACCCCCAAGAGTGGCGATGAAGATCACCTCAGGACCTTTGCAGGGTCGCGTCGGCGAAGAGTTGCCAGAAGGCGCTGGCAGCCATCGAGATAAGAAGGCTTGAGAAACCTGAGTAACCACTCTTTGTCATGAACTCTGCTGTTCCAAGTTGTCAAGGTGTGACATTCAGGTTGGAGAGGCAGAACACTACCGGCTTGGGAATCAAAGGCAAGCTGAACAGCGGGAAGCCCTTTCAGGCTAGTAGAATTCCCTTCTGATTAATTACCTCCCACTTTATACCTTTCAAAAGCTCCTTGACGCAACCCGCTAGCACGTAACGCCGAGTATTGGTATGGTCTCTGAGAGCCATTCAAGACTCGTATGAAGTAGGGTGCGACAACATAAGGGGTTTTAGCAAGTTCGAGTACAACTGCAATACTTCTAGTTCAAATCTCGACCTCACTTACCTTTCGTCACTTTACTCAGGTGATGCACAGTAAATGTTACTTCGCAAATTTAGATCTAACGCAGATATACATCGTGTCTGATTCTGATATGAGATAGTATATCTAATCTGATCGCCTTAAGGAATATGGTCATGGCCAAAGACTACCTACATATCCACAAGTCGTCAGTTTCAGTGATTAATGATTTCGACTCACCCAGTTTCCTTCCGAGTACCTGAGGAAACACGTAGCAACCTGAAAAATGAGCAATCCCACGCTGTTTCTTTTGCCCATTCAGCAGAGTCGAGGTCAAAATGATATCTGATATGTCACTTTATTTGGGAACATAATGCGGCCCTAGTGAATGACTCCTCGTAGGCAGCGTTAGTGTAGCCTTGGCGGAGAAGGGATCACACGTCGGCCAACCACATTGATGATGAATGATACTAATGAAAGTGAGTCACGAGACACAAAATTCAGTCCTCTCTCTGAGTGACTTGTGAATGAGTGCTAGTAGAAGTTTTGCTGGGTCATTCCTTAGACACTTAGAATCAGTACAGTGTCATCCTGGCACGTTCATGCTTCGTAATCTCTCCTGTAGACATTACACTTCTCAAGCCACGTAGATTAACTTGAGCATTTGTGATTTGACACGTCTTCCACTTCTGATGGGTCGGATATCATAGGTAACATTCAGCGCCCTCTGCCCCTTCCGCGCTTCGCACCGCCTCTACCCGCACCACGGCCGCGCTTACTCCTGGGTTTCATGTCAGAATTCTCGTACAATTTCTCCTCCCCAAAGGCCATCTCCCCAAAGTTGAGGTAGCTGATCATCCCACGATCGACAACGGCAACCAAAACATTCCTCCATCCATGCTTCAGACGCTTGTATACAAAGCCCGCTCCCTTTACGTCTCGATCCCGCTCCAGAGGTGGGTCAAATGGTGTCGACATGAGTAGTGCATCGATTTGCTCCAGCGTTGGAATATTGGTCTCGCGCGCATCGACGACGCAGAGGCGGAAGTCTGGTGGCGGCGGACGAACTTTTGTGAACACTGACTGGGCTTTCCAGATATGATAATGGACCTTGTAGGGTTCTTGAGGTTCAGGATAGTCAGCCGGTACGTATTGAGTAGGCTTGTGTCTGGGAATGAGCGCCAACTGTTCGAATATTGGCGTGTACGAGCGATATAGGCCTGGTTTCAAAAGCGGCCCACAGTGGGATTGGTCGAGCTGTGATTGTGAATTGGTAAAAGAGTTTGATATAAGTGAATACAGCTGATGCCACAGGGGTTGGGGTGATGGTGGTGATGGCGGCTCTAGAGGTGTTGCACGCAAGACTGAGTATCCAGTCCGTTTCAAACCGGCGTAGACTTGGAACTTCTCAAGGCTGACCTTTCCCGGTTCTCCGTCGCGCCCAATGAGAAGGGCATAAGCTCCTTGAAGACCAACAGGAACGCCAAGTTCATGTTCCTCGAGAGATTTGCCATATACATCATGTGAAGATTCGTTAGGTAAGTCATCAGATTCTTCATCTTTGACGGGGAATACATCCTCTATCCCTCGTGATGGCCACCACAGATCCAAAGACCCGCGCTCTACCAAGAACAGTGCCTCCTCGGGTAGCAGCCAGAGTTTTTGCCATCCTGGTGTATTTTTCTCAACCCCGGTTACTATGCGACCCATGGAAGTGAGCAGAGTACCCCTCTCGACTTCAATTGCAACGACACGTTCACGCGCGAACATGGGGTAGCTAGAGCTTCGAGCATTTGTCTTTGGCATGTTTCCGGTGGACTGGGTATCATCGGGCATATCGGCCCATCTGTCAGGAAAGTACCAACCGCGCAATACATTCCTAGGCAGTGATTGTCGCGTATAGCTGAGTACGTCATGCATAGCAGAGCGACTGGACTCGAGTACCCCCTCCTGGGCGCGCGTGCCGTGGGACTCGAAATCTTTCTCACCGCGTCTTATCGTCCTGCCAGACGCTGGCTTTTGAGATGAGGCCCCGAGTGCTGCGAAAAAGCGAAAGTCCGGAACCTGTTCATCCCCATCGTTTTCAGAAAATGCGTCCGAATCGGTGGCCCGCGCCGCAGCTTTCCGCGACGCGGAAGTAGAGTCGTCATCGTCGGAGAGCATTGTTGACGACCGATAGAGAACCAATGTCACAGCTATCTCAGCGTCAATGTCGAAGTACTTTCCATAGGAGCGTGGGCAGTGGATTTCTGAGGTTAGAGACACTCATGCAGTAATCGGAAAAAACACTGGGGCTTCGACTTGCGCTAGTGGATTGAGGTCACAGGCTCCAGTCTTGGCTCGCTTTTGGGTGCTCGACGACCTGAGTCCTGCAGCTGAGTTAGCTACATACCTAGACTCGCACGAACCCTTCAATGGCTAGAGCCTGAGTCCCTGATGTTCTTCCGAGCGACGTCAGCATTGCACCAGCTTGTCTTGCATTAAACTGTCTGAGATGATTTAATCACGGCGTACAGATTATACATATATGTACCTAGGTAGGTATTCCCATCAATGCCCCGCATTCCGACCCAGACGATAGCTGATTATGTCAGCCTCCAAGTCGGTGGTGTCGAACGTCAAGCTTGCCTCAGTTTCACAAACTCAGCTCCAGTGTTGGGCACAAAGCAATGAATAGATACTCTGAAGCCAAAAATAATATTATACTCTCGGCCTTCTGCTTTAGGCATCCTCAAAGACCCATTGTTGGAACAAGAGACCAGTCTTTTGTGACTTTGTACGGCCTTCATTTTGCTATTAAGAGCACTATTGTTGTAATGAAAAGATGTGTCTTCTGGACATTTCGTTCGCTGTCATGCTCAAGTCTGGTCATAGAAAGTGTTTGCGAGAAAATTGTGGGATTAGTGAACATGCTGCTTGGGACCACACTGTACGAACAAGGTCTGAATCAATCACCAAGATTTGAAACCTGGTTGCTGAAGACCCGTCTTCATATTGAGAAAAAGCTTCCAAAGAGTTTGTGATGGTTGAGTCCTTGTGTCTATCGCAAATATGCTAGTTATATGGTGTGATGTCTCTAGGAGTGTCACATAAGCACTGTATTTCTATCTCAACTTGGCACTGCTATGGGCTGATTAGTCAGCCGGCAGCACTGGTATGCTCATGTAATTACAACACCACTTACACACAACGTGTATTTGCTGTGCACATCCATTAAGCCAACGTGATCCATCTGCCATTTGCATAAAGCAAACCCTACCGTACTGATGCTATGCGGGGTTGTGTGGCAACTAATCAACCCGGAGTGGGGTTCTGTGTGTCCTAGCCTGCGTGAATTTCGCCCCTGGCACCACACACTCATCCGACCATCCGAACTTTTTCCCAGCCCCTCGGCCCCCTCCCGCTCTTGTTCTTTATATATAAGTTCTACTAACTACAATACACTTCAACAAATCAAATTAGGGCGTTTGGCCGAGGGGTCTAAGGCGCTGTGTTTAGGTCATTTCATCAATAGATTTACTTAATACCGCAGTGGGAAACCGCGCAGGTTCGAATCCTGCAGCGCTCAAGCAATTTTTTTTTGATGTGCTTTCCGATTCGTCTCTAAACACCTACCTTGCAAAGCGTCTTCGTAGGCTTGTCTCCATGGTATTTTTCACTACACTCCTTGTTTAATCGATATATCAGCGGCCAATTCTTTCGCTCGTTAAACAACGAGAGTTTAAGGGCACGTTTGAACGCGTTCGAGCTTTCTATATACCTCAGGCACCCATCCCAATTCCCTAATAAGGATCTGTTGCTTATGGCGCAAGCGCCCATTGGTGGAGCGAAACTACCTACCTTGTTTACTTTAGTCTTGTTGTTGGCGTGCGAGTTCTTTTGGTACCTGTTATTTCTCCTGTATCGGTATAGAATGCTGGCGTGCCACGGCAGGTCACGCACAACACCTTCACAGGGCGTATGTTACCCGAGAGGGGGCTAAGATTGTAGTCTTTAACTTGGCTATTAACAGTCTACGAGCTTGGTCTTGTGGCGGTGGCGTTGAAATGGGGCTGAGAAAAGTCATACATTACCTTAGGTACGGCCGTCCAGCCCTGTCCTTAGAAATGACTAACCAACCATCTCCATCACACTTTTCCTGTTACTTGCAATCAGTCTCGGGGCGATCCTCGGTATTCATTAACCACTATGCTACGCTATACGACTACCTCAAATTTACCCTTTACGTACCAAATGACCCGGTTGTATTAATATTGTACCACTGCCAACTGCGCAAAGTGTTATTATCCCGAAGAATACTGTATAATTCGAATTGCTTATTAATATACCACAACCCCTCTAGGTGCTTTTGTAGTTCAATTCCTTCTAACATTTTTTGGAGTGGTGTTCCATCAATTTCAATCTATCGATCGTGGATTAATGTAAAAGTACAAGTCTGTACAGCAGTACAACTGCGGAAGCAGATGTACCGGTACATACAGCAAACCGAAGGTTGCTTCCAGTAATCCCAGGTCGGAGTCATCCATGGTGGTGACGTGGAAGTGGGTGAAGTCAGTGAGATGGGATGTTCTGTGTTTGATGTGATGTGGATGATGTGCTGTGCTGTGCCATATCATGCGCCACGTCATTGAGCCACAACGCGCACATATCCCTAAATTGTCTGAAAACGCGATGTTCACCATTTTCCTCCTATCTAACAAAACAGCGAAGACTTCCTGTTCGATCCCCTCTCTCACTTCTGCCTGTTTTTTTTTTTTCTTTTTCTGAGCCGTTAGGTGTACATGCAAGTGCTCCGTCGGCAATCTGGTGTCACTATCTCAGGTGTGTCAGGTGGCGTCAGCGGGTTGACTGCTGGCTTCAGGGGGGTTTTGGTCTCTTCAGGACCTTAAACAGGTGCTTCAGGGGACTCACGGAGGTCTCGATGGCTGCGATAGCAGGCTTGATGGGGGTCTTGTCAGGTAACAACAGTCCGTTGCTGACGAGGTTGTGAGGCTTGTCAGGGGCTTCGTCAGGTGCCAAGCAGGTCTTCGGACTGGTGGTGGCTACAGCGACTGTAGGCTTTCGATCGGTGGCTACGCTGGTAGGCTTGGGGATGGTCTCGATCGATGTGGTGGTGCCTTCGGAGGTGGCAGTAGCGATGGAAGGGGTCACTTGAAGGGGGTTATCGTTGGAAGTGATGGCTTTCGCAGTGGTGGTGGAGGCCTTCTTTCTGCCCCGGGATCCTCGGGATCCTCGACGTCGTTGATTTCTGCCAGGTGGCAGAGACGTCTCGGAGTCTGTATCTGAGCCGTTGGTTGAAGGTGCCGGTCCGTCTGAATGTTGACGATGCTTGCTATATCGGAAACACGGAAGTAAGCCGCTTTAAGGCCAGACGAGTATTACGTCCCGAAGGACACTGTACAATTCGAATTCCTGATTGATATACCTCAGACCCTGAGACGGATAGTCCTTTCGCAATTCTATTATGTGCTGAGAACTCTCCTCTTTGCGCAGCATAGAGCCGTACGAGTCACGCTCGCTCGTAAAGTATCCTGCTATGCCGAGAGAGTCGTAGGCTGTCTTCGACATTCTAGGCCTAGGTAGGCGTTGGCAAAGGTCTTGAGAGTTGATCGAAAACATGTAGAATTCATGCCTTTCTTCCCGCTCTAGACAACAAGATTTGCCGGCCGTATGACCCTTCGGCAGACTAAGTCGCGCGGTATGGAGGCCTTTATTGTTGACATTTGTATTGTTGAGAACCTTGTTTTCGACGGTGGATCTGCGTATGCAGATTCCAGACACTCCCAATATACATTTTCTTCTTCTTTCCTACTTGGATATTCAGCCGTCGCAGCCGAATATCTGGCTGTTAGGTCAATTCCGAGCTGCTGAATGACCAAGCACAACGTTTGATTGACTGGCCAGAGCGTGTTTTATACGAGCATTGAGGGTAACGGACACGGGCACCTCAAGTGTTGTTGTTGTTGCCGTAGTATGCGTGCAACCAGATCACGTTCGGAATACATGGCAATCATTGTTCAAAGTCCAAATGTGAACAGGATGCCTAGGTGAAGTAACTTCTTGGCTGTCGTGGAGCATGGCCGCGCTGGGCAGGGACTCTGATGCCGCACAAGTGGTTGTATATTAAAGAAGACGACGGTCCTTCATGAATGCTTGAGCTTGAAGCTTGAAGATACTGCGCTCCAAGTGATATGCTAGAACACAGCTCAATCCTGCTGCTCTCATTGAGAGCGTGCCCGAAGATTAGTTATGAAGTTTCCAACGAACAAATTCGTCTAACATAGCGTGTAAGCTAGTGATCGTATAAGCGATGGGGTCCTAGAAGAGTCCCGAGACGTTGCTCGCAAACGAAGCCACGGGATTATAAATGCAAAGGTGTGTCCTGCGGGTGAGCTTGCTGGTGGTGGTGCTGCATAGAACCTGGGAATGTTGATGTATCCATGATGTTACCGAAGGCTTCGTGGTGGTGATCGACCGCGCTGGAGACGGGCGATTCCCTCGCGCTCGTGCTGATGGTGTGAATAACTCGCTCGGGACACTAAGTAACTTATGTGATTCAATGTTGTTGCCTTTTGAGTGGCATGTGTCTCTCATATCCTGGTAGTGGCTGTTTCGTATGGGGGGACATGTGGTGAAACCAGTAATGTATGATATTCATTTGTGTCTTCAATAGTAGACCGTGATCCGCGTGATCAGATTCTCCAGGCATTACTCCCGAGTCTGTGGCAACGCTGAAGGCGTGAGCCCGAGCATCACGAATCATTCGGCGGAACACGCAAGCGTGAAGTATTGGAAAGGGTGTTTTGACCCTTGCGCCGATGTGTCTGGCTTACAGATGAGCGATTGAAATTTTTTTGCGAGTTTTTGGTGTGGATTTGTAAATGTGTGGGATGTTGTGCGGGCGCTTGATTCTGTGCGTAGGTCGATAGCGGTTTTGGATGTTGCTCCGTGGTAATCCCGAGTGCGCCATATGGAAGGAGTCTAGAAGTATAGCAGTCCGTCTATATGAAGAAGATGGACACAAAAGGCCGATCATGCGACTGATTCGTCGTTTGTCAAGTTCTGCTCACTAGTAGAATGGTTGGAAGTATCAATCTTACCAATGTGCTCAAATAAACGGCGTACTTGACGGCCTTGTGTGATCCTTCGTTGAATGATGGGATCGCAGAAATGACCGTGTAGGAATCATCCACTTGCACCCCCGTAGCGTTAAAACCACGTAGTCAAATATGTATATGCAGGCAAAGGTATCAATTATGGGGGGGTCGGCCGTCCACTGAATCATATTCACGGCCTGTTGGTGCCTGTCTTGCTGTCTTCTTCGCCTGACGGCTTGTAACAACTTTGAAAGCCGCAGTCCCTCTGATTGAGTATGTGAATATTCGGTGCTGGATCTCGAGCAGGTCAGAGTGTTCGAAGGGCCCGCCGGTGAGAGTAACCTCGAAAATAGAAAACGAGGGGTTGGTCATAAAAGTTGTCGTATGTGAGTGCCAATTGCGCTTTGCGGCTTGCTTTTCTTCGCTGGTGTCTTTAGGTTGCTCGCAGCCGTGCATAGCACGAAATACGGAAGGCACTGTACAATGGATATGTTCTGAGGAGCGAGGCAGAACGAGACGCCTCTGTAGTCGAGACTCCGTGCGATATTGAACAGTTGCTTGAGTAATGCATGTCAGAGGTGCAGGCTGCACATCTTAATTATCGTTATGGCCGAGATTTTCTTCCAGGGGTAAAGATCGGTGGTTGTTAGAGATGCATTTGGCACGAATATTGTTCTTGCTAACGTGAGTTAAACATACTTCTCGTTGTCAGCTTCTCTTCCGGTATCCAAATATCGTTTGTGTCTTCTTGACGTTTTTGGGGACGCTGGGTCGCGTTTAAGTTCGGCTTTGTGGCAACGGAGGATAGTCCCCAATCTCTCACGTCGCTATCTGCGTTATGCATAGCTCGTGACGTGTCGATTCCCACATCTGGATCTTGCGTTGTCTCATATTGTGTTAGGAGTCGGCAATCCCAAATCTCACTGTATAATGCTGAGAGGCATGAGCTGTTTGTGTAGATGGAGCTTGACTTCGTCCATATGTCGAAACAATGATAGCGGCATCGTGGCTTGACGAAGGATTGCTTCTCGCTGAGGTTGAACTGGGCGCAGTATAGTCGCAAATGTCGTTGCATCCGGATTGTGTCCGAAACAATAGCCTCCACGAGGAGATTTGACAGCGGATTTCAACGCCAGTGTCATCCAAACAACTAAACGAAGTGATATGGACACCGTCTGTCTTCCTAGGCCCAGTTACCACCACTCTTTCGGATAGAGGCTGAATGATTGCTTACCTCTTTGCTGTCCACCAACAATGTCTGCCATCGCTTGCAACGTTAGTCGACAAATCCTTGGATCGCGTCCCGAATCGCTCTGCATCATCCTCCCCACGCCGCACCCCACGCCTAACACATCGCCCCTCGCTTTCTTCTTTCCTTCCGCACCACGCCCCTTCCCACTGGCTCTCTGTTGTTGTTTCTTCTTCTTTTTCGTCTCCTTCTCTGTCTCTCTCTTTCCTTCTCTCCCTCTCC